CACTTTGGAAACTGAGGAACAAACAGGATATCCTGTTTCTGTAGTTTTCATAAACGAAACTTTGGATTATATCTTAATGAGAAGCGAAGTTGACATAGTATCCGTAAGTTCTCAAAGTTTTTCTCCTATTTTGTTGTGAAATTATGATTTTTAAGAATGGCCCTCCTATTGTTCGAGCTCGAAATTCCGAGCCGATTACCATGGCCGGATTCGGTAACCAAGAAAGTGCATATTCCTTCGTTTCGGGAATAATTTACTCAAATCGAAGTTTTTATTTTAATAATGGCAAGAAACATTGTGGTCCTTACATACTCGGTACAGCACCAACTGCGCGAGGAAACTCTTGTTACAATGATTATATCTTTCGATTAATTAAATACTAAGTTTTCAGGCGATGGTGTGTGGGGTTCATATGGTCTCCTGGGGATGAATCTCGGTTGCTCAACCATGCCAAATCAGTTGCATACTGTAGCAATATCGGAGGCCGCTACATTTTGCCCGAGGAATTTAATTTGTGAGGCGTTTAGGTTTGAGGAAGAAGTAATGGTATGCTTCGTTTACTATTAACCTCACTAATAATAGTTTTTCAGAGGATATTAGAAGAGGAACGAATATTGAAAGTCTCACCTCCTCCGCGAAAAAAAGCTTTGTTGGTCAGTGATTTTACTGGGAGCGACATATGGTATGGTTCGTCCGCGGAATAGATTCCCCCATCAACAAGAAAATAATTCCGATTGTAAGTGCCTTCATTTTTTTTAAAATTTTCAATGTAAAATATGACTCATATACTTATACTTAAAAAATTCTGTTATTTTCATAATTTTCTGAGACTTTGAAAACGATAAACATGCAAAAATAGACAAAAATCCGCGAAAATAGATAAATCTTCTTTTTTTTGTATGTCTCAATCTTTTATTTTACCTCTCTATGTTCTATAAAGCTAAAAACAAATTGATAGTTAGCCAACGATCTAATATCCCTCATTTACTTTTTCAATCAACAATTACAAAAGTCTGTATTCTATAATATCAATAATTCAGATGAATTAACTTTTCCAGAGCTTCTCCTATGTGACAATTGCTTTGGCGTTCTTTCCATGTACAAGTGATTTTCTAATATATCCAACCACACATCATTGTGAAACGTTTTCACACCTGTTTCATCTTTTTATATGTATTCCTAATGTATAACACATTCTCATACTCAATCGCATGCACAATCTATTATGATATGAATAACATCTGATATATATATAGATATTAAATGACCCTTCCTTGTATTTCTGAATAAGAGATAGATACTCTTCATTCAGCTTAAAACTCTCATCTATAAAGTTCACCTAGCATCTCATTGCGTTTATTTTCCT